CGCGAGCATGCGCGGGACAGTGCGGCCGCAGACATGCACCAGCCAACACCCAGCACTCATCGCAATCGCTCCCGCATGGGTTTGCAAACCAAGTTGCGGGCGGGTGGGTGGGTGGGATGGTTGCGCGAGCAGTGGAACTGACATTTTCAAGTTCGGCAAGTGAGTTGCACACCATAGATTGCATAACGCACACGCGCACACACACACATCTATATATATATGTATATATATGTATACACATATAGCACCACACAGATTGCACCACACAGATCGCAACTCCTATGTAACACGACCCCGAATGCACAGCATATTTTGCAACACGCAATTCGCACAACATAGATTTTCTTTTCTTGAAAAATAGACTCTCCCCCCCCGGACTTATCGTTTCCCCCTGGGATAGTATGATTTCATACATATATATAGAAAAGAAAAACTGCACACTCGTCCATCCTAAATATGAAATCGCGCCATCCCAGCCAGGCCGGGTTCCCCCCCTGAGGTTCCTTTCTGTAAAAAAAAAACTATGCGGTGATTTTTTTGTTCTAACACAACACTGTTTCACGAATCTCTTGCAACAGATGACACGAAATGCACACGCGCGCGTCGTCGCGCGCGCATGCCGAAATCCTTCAAAACCTCCGCTGCCGGAAGGATTTCGCAATCGAGTTCCCCCCCCAAAAAAACAACAACACATGGTTTCGCAACACTGATTTGCTAAAAAAATTCCGCTCGACCTCTTGCGAAATCTTGGGTAACCATATTTTTTACAAGATTTTCACAACATGCTACCAAACGGGCTTCGCGCGCTTGTCGAAGTCTGTCGAACGCCCTCGCGCGTGTGCCGTCGCGAGAATCCGGTGCAAAAAAACGGGACGAAGTGCAGACGCGCGCGTCGTCGCGGGCGTATGCCGAAAACTTTTAAAACCCATCGGTTTCGGAAGGATTTCAAATTCGTGCGTCCAAAAAACCTACAAAAACCCAAGGTTTCGCAACACGGATTTTCAACAAAAGCGTGCGCGCGCGCTCTTGCGTCGTCGTCGTCGTCGTCGTCGTCGCCGTCCTCCCTCCTCCCGCGTCGTTGTCGTCGTCGTCCTCGTCGCCTACGTCGTCCTCTGTCTTTTCTCGTGTTCGTCGTCGTCGTCGTCTTTGGCGTCGTGGTCGTTTCCGTCGTCGTTGTCGCCGTGGTCGTCCTTCCTCCTCCTCCCACGTCGTCGTCGTCGTCCGTCGTCGGCGTCTCGTCGTCGTCCCTCCTATTTCGTCGCCGTCGTCGTCGTCGTTGTCGTCGTCGTCTTCCCTCCTCCCTCGTCGTTGTCGTCGTCGGCGTCGCCGTCCTTCCTCCTTCGTCGTCGTTCGCGTCGCCGCCGTCCTCCCTCCTCCCTCGTCGTTGTCGTCGTTGTCGTCCTTTTCGCCGTCGTCGTCCTTCCTCCTCCCTCGTCGTCGCCTTCGTTGGCGTCGTCGTCGTCGTCGTCTTCGTCGTCGTCGGCGTCGGCGTCGTTGTCGTCGTCGAAGTCGTTGTCGACGTCGTCGGTGTCGTCCTAGTCGTCGTCGTTGGTGTCGTCGTAGTCGGTCTTAACAGGTTTTGCAAACCATGTTGCGGGTGGGTGGGTGGGATGTTTGCGCGAGCAGTGGAGATGACGACTTCAGGTTCAGCAGAGTGGATTATCCTTTCTACCCCCCCCCAGACTTAACGCTTCCCCCTGGGATAGTATAGTCTCATAAATATTCTGCACGCTCGTCCATCCTAAATATGAAATCGCACCATCCCAGGCATGCCGGTTTCCCCCCCCCTTACGTTCCTTTGTAAAAACACTATGCGGTGACTTTTTTGTTCTAACATAACACTGTTTCACGAATCTCTTGCAAAAAATGGCACGAAGTGCACACGCGCGCGTCGTCGCGCGCGCATGCCGAAATCCTTCAAAAACCTCCGGTGCCGGAGCGATTTCGCAATCGAGTTTCCAAAACACATACAAAAACACATGGTTTCGCAACACTGATTTGCTAAAAAAGCTTCAGCGCGAGCTCTTGCGAAATCTTAAGAAAACCATAGGTTTTCAAGATTTTCACAAAATACTACCGAACGGGCTTCGCGCGCGCGCGCATGTCGAAGTCTGTCGAACGCCCTTGCGCGTGTGCCGTCACGAGAACCCTCTGCAAAAAATGAGACGAAATGCAGACGCGCGAGTGGTCGCGCGCGTACGCCGAAAACCTTCAAAACCCATCGGTTTCGGAAGGATTTCGAAATCGCGCGTCCAACAAACCTACAAAAACCCAAGGTTTCGCAACACGGATTTTCAACAAAAGCGTGCGCGCGCGCTCTTGCGTCGTCGTCGTCGTCGTCGCCGTCCTCCCTCCTCCCGCGTCGTTGTCGTCGTCGTCGTCGCCTACGTCGTCCTCTGTCTTTCCTCGTGTTCGTCGTCGTCGTCCTCTTTGGCGTCGTGGGCGTTTCCGTCGTCGTTGTCGCCTTGGTCGTCCTTCCTCCTCCTCCCTCGTCGTCGTCGTCGTCCGTCGTCGGCGTCTCGTCGTCGTCCCTCCTATTTCGTCGCAGTCGTCGTCGTCGTCGTTGTCGTCGTCGTCGTCTTCCCTCCTCCCTCGTCGTTGCCGTCGTCGGCGTCGCCGTCCTTCCTCCTTCTTCGTCGTTTGCGTCGTCGGCGTCCTCCCTCCTCCCTCGTCGTTGTCGTCGTTGTCGCCGTTGTCGCCGTCGTCGTCCTTCCTCCTCCCTCGTCGTCGTCTTCGTTGGCGACGTCGTCGTCGTCTTCGTCGTCGTCGTCGGCGTCGGCGTCGTCGTCGTCGTCGTCGTCGTCGTCGTCGTCGTCGTCGTCGTCGTCGTCGTCGTCGTCGTCGTCGTCGGCGTCGTTGACGTCGTCGTCGTCGTCGTCGGCGTCGTCGTTGTCGTCGTCGTCGTCGTCGTCATCGTCGTCGTCGTTGTCATCGTCGTCGGCGTCGTCGTCGTCGTCGTTGTCGGCGTCGTCGAAGTCGTTGGAGACGTCGTCGTGTCGTCGTAGTCGTTGTCGGCGGCGTCGTCGTCGTCGTCGTTGTCGCTGTCGTCGTCGGCGTCGCTGTCGTTGGCAAGTGCCATTTGGTACCCACCGTCACGGTCTTAAGAGATTTTGCGAACCAAGTTGCGGGTGGGTGGGTGGGATGTTTGCGCGAGCAGTGGAGTAGTTAAGCGCGGTGCAGGGTAGTCAACTGCACACCTTAGATTGCGCCACGTAGGTTTCATCACATGGGCTGCACCACGCCGATTGTTCCACACTGATTGCATTACATCGATTGCGCTACGTCCATTGCGCCACATAGATTGGCCAGCATAGAATGCACACAGAATGTTGCATAAGGCTGATAGCAAACTCCAGATTTCACTACGTGGATTGCACCACATAAATTGCACCACGTAGACTGCTCCCTACAACCCTCGTCAAAAATAAACTGAGGGATTCTGTTTTCGGTGATTGTATGGTCAGCGCTACTCCAATGCTGACGCTAGATATCTGACGTGGGCGCAAGGGCTTCAAAAATCCGACGACCCCGCCGCAGCATTGAAGAACGCAATTTCTAACAAGTGCCCGAGAAGATCGACCGTCGTGATTTCCAACTTCGTTTCTGTTTATTTTTGACGAGGCTTGTAGATAGCATGCGCGTAGCGTTAAAAACATGGTTCGGGGGCCCACGCTGACTATAACACATGTATGCACGTGTGGGGGGGCGGCGGGGGGCGCGGTGGCCGGACGCGCCGGCAGCAAAAACAGCGTGTCCGTGCCTCGTTTTATCAAGCAGGGCCACGGACGCAGCGAGGATCAAAACGCGAAGCTTGCTCCAGAAGCACCCCAGCACAAACACGTGCGCTTTTAACACACACACACACACACGCACTCGAATACACTGGCAACGCTTGGCCGTACTCCTCGTATTCCTCTTTTTTAACCTCTCCCTGCTTGCATTTTTTCAGTCATTTTCCCCCTCCCCATTCTCTCCTTTCACCTCACACTTTCCCCCTGCAGTGTATGTTCCTCTTGTTTCCCCCCTTGAGCATCATCCTTATATTCCTCCCTCCTTTTCCCTCCCTCTCTTTCTCTTCCTCCTTTTCCCCCCCCCCCCCCTCCTCCCCCCCAATGCAGCCCGCATATGGCAGAGGCAAGCGCTCTGGGAACGGTACCTATCCTCGTTGCTTTTCAGCAGGGAGCCGGGAACGCGAGGACCACGCCGAGGGAAGAGGTTCACCAGATCCACGTTGGTTCCCTGCCCCCACTGCCTGCTCCCGAAACCCTTATAGCCACGAACAAATCGAGACGTCCCGTTTCGGTTTCCAAGTTTGGGGCCTCTGGAGACCCGTTCCCTTGTGCCAGGACTGGCAGACCACCCGGGGACGTGCCCAACGTTTCTGTCTTTCCTGCTATTCGCAAAGGGTAACATGTTCTTCGGACATTCTGCAGAGAACCGTCGTGCTTGACCCCAAGGGGCGCAGGAGAGTAGCGACAGTTGTGCGCCTGGCAGCGCGTGGAGCGCGAGGTCTCGTGGGGATCTGCGTGGCTCACAGCTCTGCCAGACTCCTCAGGGGGCGCAGGAGGGTTGCGACAGCTGCGCGCCTGGCAGCGGCCGGAGAGGGTTAGGTCTGGTTTGGATCTGCGTGGCTCACTACTCCAGCGGGCCCCCCCAGGGGCACACAGGAGAGTGGCGACAGTGGCGCGCCTGATGGCACCCAGAGAGATCAGGGACTGATTTGGATTTGGATGGTTGACCACTCGGCTAGACCTCCCAGGGGCGCAGAATTTGCCTCTGCTGTCACCTCCGCCGCCATCTCTACCTTGCAGCCATTCGTTTCTGCTCCTGCCTTGTGCTGATGGCTGACCGTTTCGTTTGCTTCGAGTGGGCAACCAGATTATGTTGATCGTGCTACCTTGTCCCCCATGCCATCACATCCGTTGCACTTCGTATCACTTCGTCATTCGTTTTGATTATCTCATGGCGGTCCTAGTTTTCTGCTCCTCTTTGCCCGGCAGGTTTACATTTCTTCATTGTGCGGGCGTTTTCTGCAACGGTTCAAGAAGCCAGCGAATGCCTTAGTCGTCACCGCCCGCACAATAGCGTGTAGAACGTGTGAGGGCGTCGCGTGTCATCAGCAATCGAAGGATCATGAGTAGATTCGGCAACCTATTCTTGATCGCGATGTCGACAGCCTGGATCAGTTTGCACGCAGCAGGCAAGTTCACGACTTATGGCAGTCCTTGCTGGTGAAATCGCGGTACAACGATCGCTGAATCTACATACGGCCAGAGGCGTGGATTTGACACAGGGACGCTATTGTCATTGTTCACAATCCGGATCATGACACCCTGCGGAGTAGCAGCGTAACGAATGAGCGTCTTCGCGGTATAGAGAGTGTTGGCGACGAGAAGCAAAAGCAACAGATCATCGTAGGCAATCTTTCAATATTCCAAAGGGCAATGGGCGCATCAGTGGATCGCATTGACCCTGCTGCACGTTCCAGACGCATTACAGATGCCAAGGCACATGGCACAACCATGGGTGTTCATGCGACGGCTGCTGCGAATGAGACAGAGAGAGAGAGAGAGCGAGAGCGAGAGAGAGATAGGGAGAGAGAGAGAGAGGGAGAGTAGGAAAGCGAGAGAGAGAGAGAGATACTGCAGTCACATCATACAAGACATCGGCTTGCGAGCAGGTGCCCAACGGCATTATTACCCCCCCGATGGTCCAATTGACCCACAGAACCCCTGGGGCTCTTTAGGACCCCCAACTATAGACGAAGTATGCGTCCCAACATTTCTCGTAGCAGGATGTCCGATCGTATATGTGTATTGTATGCTAGGGCATACTTGGAGATCTCGATCGATCGACATCTTTGTCTACGGTACGCTAGCGCATGCACATGCAAATGCGTCCAGCCAAGTTTTGCGAGCGACCAGTTCGTCATCAGCATGTTCTAGTGGCGTGGCGGCGCCATTTGTTTGGTTGGCCATAGCGAGGGCAGACAGAGTGGGGTAATGCGCTGTCGCCTTGGCGGGACTGGCACGCAGAAAAGAGATGTCGCGCGAGGGGGAGGTACATACATACATACGTACGTACGTACGTACGTACGTACAAACAAACATGCATGCATGCATGCATGCATGCAGACAGACAGACAGACAGACAGGCAGACAGACAGGCAGACAGACAGACATGTACACATATATATATATATGTATGCACAGCGAGAGAGAGATACCACAGAGAGACATGGATAGAGAGAGAGAGAGAGCGAGAGAGAAAACGAAAGAAAGGAAAGAGAGAGAGAGAGAGAGTGGCGATGCCCAGCGAAGCTGCTTTGGGCGGACGGAGCGCGCCACGAGCCCAGGAGTGTGTTCCAACCACCCCGCTTCGGGATGCGGAGCTTACCCCCACCACTCTCTGTTCGTAGCAGGGCATCTAGGCTTGTTGCCCCACGGCTACCGTTCCTGGTCCGTTGAGAACGGTGCGGCTTCTAGTTCATCCGTTGGCCCGCAGTGGTGCAGCGGAGATGGTTGATCTGTGTTACGTGTTGCGCTTGTGCGTCCGAAGGGGTTCTCGAGCATCATCCGACGGGATCAGGAATCCAGCTCGTGCGTATTGAGAAAGTCGTGCCCAGGAGTAGTGGTTACGTAAAGCCTCGACGGGTTGCGCATTGCATACTGAGTGGCAGCAACCTCAGTGATGTCTTGGTCCGGCATATATATATATATATATATATATCAGTTCACCCTGAAGGTGACAACACCTGTTCCTTCCCGATGGCCTTTCAGAGTAATTTTCTTCATGCTCGCTGCGCAGTAGTTCCCTCAGCATTCACTGAAGCGAGCAACGCTCAGTGGCGAAGCGAGAAGCCACGGCGAGACGTGTGCATTGTGATTTGCGTCGCCGCATGTTTGTTTGATGCCGAGGTAACTGCGATCATCACCTGCAAGCCCGCCGAGTTCCTCCGCAGGCTCGCCCCGCACCGCCCGCGAGGCTTGGCCCGTCGATGTCGGGGGGTGGGCGGAGTCGGCCTGTGGGGATGGAGGTGGGCGTGGAGCGGCGGGAGAGGTTCTGAGAGGGGCGGCTGGGACTGACTCCCACCTTCTCCGCCTCCTCCTCCGTGCCATCGGACCCTGTACCCCGCTAGAATTCTTAGGTCATCCTGAGAGCTTCCCCAGCGCCCCGCAATCCTCTTCGGCATTCACTAGACCCGCTCAGGGCAGCCTGAGAGCCTCCAGAACCCACCAGACCCCCATATCGAATCTTTCAGAAGTCCAGATCTTGCTCCTCCCTCGAGGCCCCGCGGTACTCCTCCTCCTTCTCCTTCTCTCCTTTCTCTTCCTCCGTGTTCCTCCAGCTCCGCCAGCGCACCTTGAGCTGGCGTCTGTGCTGTGTTTGCGTTTGGTCTGCGAGGCCGCTCGGAGGCGGAGGTCCTGGTCCAGCGGGAACTGGACGAGAGACCAGCAGTCTAGTCGCGTGGTGAGGACTCCGGCCTAGAGCCTAGCGAACTTTTGGGGGCCCTGTCGGAGGGCCCCCGCGCTGCGATGTCCACATTCCCTTCATTTTTTGTTTCCGCATCCTCCTCCTTCCGTAGCCAATTAGGGTCAAGCCGTGGGGGGCGCATGGGCTGGCATTCTTGTCAGGTCGGTGGGGAGGCAGATTCCACTATGAGGTTAAGGCGCAGCTTGTGACAATTCTAGACGCTTCGCGTATCCCCACCAGCCCGTCCAGAAACGACGCCCAGGCGAGTAGAGGGTCGTCCTGAGGGGCTTTTCGGCGTCTTGGGTGCCTCGGGGGGGCCTCTGTGGGCCGTTCGGAATCCTCTTTGGGGCCTCCTGGGGGCCTCTTGGGGCCTCTTGGGGCCATCTTGGGGCCTCTGGGAGCACCTTGGGTGCCTCTGGGGGGTCTCTTGGGGCCTCTTGGGGGTCTCTTGGGGGCCTCCTGGGGGCCTCTTGGGGGGCCTCTTGGGGCCATCTTGGGGCCATCCTGCGGCCTCTTGGGGCATCCTGGGGGCCTCTTGCGGCCATCGTGGAGGAAATCGATCAAAGAAGGGGGGTTCCTAAATTTCAGCCCCCCCCTCAGAAGGCCAAAATGGGGCCCAAACCATAGTAAAATCAATGATTTTGGCTTCCTCGCCGAGGCCGTTTTGGACGCTCTAACTACCCGCGCCCCCCCCTGTCCAGGTCAGTGGGGAGGGGGTAGGGGGAGGGGTAAACCCCTCCCCGAAGGGGAAGAAGGAGGTGTGGAAGAGGAAACTTGTTAAACCACCGACGCCCTAAAGGGCTGGTGGGATTCAGATCCTATGGCTGGACGCCTGGATGTAGTTGTCGCCCTGTGCGCGGTTGGCGTGACGTTCGCAGTGAGTCTGGGAATGTGGTCTTCCAAGGTGGGCACTGGCTTGCCCATGTCAGTCCCATTCAGCTGGCATCCCGTGTTGATGACGCTTGGCTACGCATCCTTTATGACGCTGGGGCGGTGGGCGTATTTGGCCGACCCGAGCGAGAAGCTGGGCACTGCGGACCTGCAGGGCCGCCGACTTGTGCACCGCACCTGCATGACCCTGGCCTCAATGGCAGCTCTCGCGGGCTACGGAGCCATCTTCTATGCCCACTGGCCGTCCAGGCAATACCTCGGCTACAGCTTCGTCAAGGGGCAGTGGAGTGAGCGGCGGCGTGTGGCTCACGTGTGCATCGGCTACACCCTGCTCGTCCTGATGGCGGCGCAGGCGTACATGGGCTTCCAGAAGTACAGGACGCTCCAGAATGGCGGCCCGCGGATCTTTCAGTTCCACGGCTACCTCGGCAAAGGCATCATCGCCCTGAGCACGGTGGAGATCTTGCTGGCCACGTGGTTCTGGGCTTGGGGCGCGAGGCTGAAGGTGGTGGTGGCGGTGCTCACGGTGGCCTGCGGCCTTTTCGGCGCCTGTGTACCCCGCCCTCTGCCGGAGAATGCCGTCACGGATTGCTCCCTGGCCCAGGACGAGACGGAAATCGCCCCGGTCGTAGTGGGCGGTGCTGTGTGACCGCGTGTGCCACGTCACTTGGCAGCTCTGCTCCTGCTCCTGCTGCTGCTGCTGCTGGTTGACCCCCTCCTTCTCCCCCCTCCTCACAGAGGGAGGAGGAGGAGGAGGAGGAGGAGGAGGAGGAGGAGGAGGAGGAGGAGGAGCAGGATGGGGAGAAGGAGCAGGAGGACGACGATGACGAGACCGCCTCTGGTCCAATGGATTGAATCTCTTGGACCACCCTTCTGGTGATCTGGACGTTGGGGATGGATGGGCACATCGCAGCGTATTTGCAATTCTCGAACTTCCTATGTTCGAAGACGCCTACGGATGACCACGCTCGCTGCCTTCTGTAAGCGCCTGTGGGGTGGCATGTCGGCGATGTTATTTTAGAATCGTCGCCGCGCGAGTGTGCTGCATTCGAGGCTGTGAGCAGAGAGGTGCAACTACTTGTTGCATATTGTGTTCTTATGGGCGAAACTTCGGCGCTTGGCGAGTTTCGAATGGATTTCTCGCGGCCCGTCATTGCATGGCGACGCTGACCACCACAGCCACATTTGATTGTTTCCTGTCCGTTTTTGTCTGGCATAAATGATGTTACTCTTTCGAAGCAGGCTGAATATCTCTGCAACTTCAGATCCCTGCCAACGTGTCGGCTAAAAGACCCTGGAAGCATTTGCAGCTAAACAAAACCCTGTTTACAGAAGTCCTTCTTTGCAGAAGTTTCTTAACACGAGCAGATGTGAACGGAACTCCCCATACCTGGGTGCCAGATGGGTCGCCGTGCGCTCGAGAAAAGCTAGGAGCCACGGGCGTGAGGAAGATTATGCTCCTTTGTCTCGGATCTTTCTCTTCTTGTGCCCTGCTCTTTGGAGGGGCAGCTGATGTTGGTGGGACTTGGTGGAGTGGTGAGGGCGCGATCCCTGGTAAACCCGCGGGCCCCCTTGTGGGGCTTCAGGCTTTGAAGATCACGTCAATGTGGTATCAGGGAGGTTTTTTAGTACATGGTTTGCGCGCGAGGGATGGTTGGGCCGAGTCTACGAGCGTGTATTTTATTATTATTATGATTATTATTATTATTATCATTATTATTATTGTTATTATTATTATTATTATTTTTCTTATTATTAATAATATTAATATTATTATTATTATTATTATTCCGATGTATTCCCGCGCGCGCGGGCGCCGGGCCTTCACTCTTTCACTCTGCGATCGTGTTTTTGTGGAGATTGAGCGTCGTAGCTGCTTCTGCGACCCCTCTGTAAGCGCCCCCCCTCGCCCCCAAATCGCCTCCTCAAGGCATGTCGGGTCGGGGGGTCCCAGGGGTCCCAGGAGATTTTGCAGGGCATCCTGCGAGCGCAAGAGATGCTTGGGCAGGCGAGGGGGGAGGTGCGGAGGCGAGGGAGAGACCCTTGAAGGGAAGGAGCGAGCGTGCGATGGACTCGGGCAGCGAGCGAGGGAGGCAGGGCGCCTCCCGGTTTGAGCGAGAGCGGGTCTGATTGGTCCCCCCCCCCTTGCGCGGAGTGGCCGGGCACCCCTGGCAGCGTTGCGGAGGCGTTTCCCCACTGCAGCGCGGCCGGGACAAGAGGCCCCGTTTGCCTTGACTGCGTTGCAGAGGCGCTTCTTCACTGTATCGCGATCGGGGGCAGTTGATGATTCGCGCAGGGGTGGTGCGTCTGAATTGTGCGCGAGCCGAGGTCGACGTGGATCCCCCCTGTCGCTCCTCCTCCTCCTCCTCCTCCTCCTCGTTATCTTTCTCCTCCTTCCCTCTACATGAACCCGACTGGGCTCCCCCTCCTTTTCCCTTCTTCCTTGTCTACTCCTCCTCATCCTGCTTGTCCTGCCCCCATCCGTATCCCCCACTCCCGCCTCCTCCTTCAGCACGGGCAGTGCAAGCAGCACCACGGGCAGCGGCAGCGGAACCACGAGCAGTTGGAGCCGCAGTCATTTGTTCCGTTGACCGGAGCCCCAGAAAATTCATACCCGCTCGGGCGCTGGCAGAACTGTCGGCCTATCTTCGCCGTGTTCGGGACGCTGGGGTCAGATCTTCTGGGGTTCCCAGCAGGGCCCCAGACATCTGTCTTCCCCACCCGCCCCTCCGAATGCCGCCGACGTCGAACATTTCATCGGATTCCAGCGCCCGTTGGGCGCGCTCCAGCAAGGGCCTCGCCTCCGGCGCGTCTCGCCTTCTGGCGGAAGGCGGCGGAAGGCGGCGGAAGTAAAGCGGCGGCGGGTTCGCCGTCGGAAGCCCGCGGAAGGCGGGCGGAGGGCAGCGGCAGCGGAAGCGAGGCGTGAGCATTGTGGTATTCGGGGTTTCTGGAGTTGGCCATTTGGGAGTGTGGTGGATCCCGTCCCCCGGCCTCCGACTGCTCGGAAGACATGTTCGGTGTTTGTTGTCAGTCGTTCACAGCGTCCGGATGTCACTGTTCAAGCCTCCGGGCCATCAACAAGTTGTCTGGGATGCAGAGCTGATGCCCGTGAAGAGGCCAAGAGGCCAAGAGGGCACGCATTGAACGAACATAGAGATGGCAGAGGTCTGGGTCCCCCGACCTCCGACGTCGTAGAGAACACACGACGTCTCGGAAAAATCGCGACTGGAGCCCGCGGCCCCCTTCTTTTTCCAGTGGGTTTCGGCCCATGCCGCCAACGTGTCTGGATTGACGGCCAGAGGCCTCTGAGAGACCTCTCGGGGTCTCTTGGGGTTCTCTTCGGGGCCTCGATAAGGCTGCTTCGGGGGCTCCTGGGAGCCTCAGGACGCTCCGTGGGGCCCTCTTGGGGCCTCTGGGGTCCTGTGGGGACTTCTTGAGGGTCTCTTGGGGGCGTGCTGGCGCTGTTTGGGCCTATACTAGGTGGGAGGGCTATCGGGACCGCTTCGAATTCCCTCTTTGGGGCTTGTCTTGGGTCTGTCTTGGTGGCTCTGGGCCTCCTCTTGACGCGTGTGGGCCGTCCTGGGGCGATCTTGGGGGCCTACTCGGTCGTCTCGGCCGTCCTGAAACTCTCCTAAGACCGAAAAGGCAAGAAAGTTGTAAGCATGCGAGATGCGAAGGTATTCTAATGCATTTGGAGGCCAAGAGCTCCAAGGCGGGTCTCTGCGACCACCTTGGAGCCTCCCAGGTACCCTGACATCTTCGTGATGACGGGCGGCGGCAACGTGGGTCTGCGGGAGGTGCTTGGTCCAGACGCCGTGTCCGCGCCGCGCTCAGCGTCAACGCTGCTCAGCACCGTCTAAACGGTTCAAACGATCCCCATGCCCACTGCAGCCATGGTATCTCAGCCCCTCCAGTCCACCCGCAAAGGTGGGGATGTCCCGCTAGACCCGAAGGGAACAGTATACATCCCCACTTGGGGGGGGAACTCGGCCAATGGGGCCAAGGCCATGCCAGCGGGGATGGGGATCGGTGAAACGATGCTCAGCTCGAAGTAGGAAACACGGGGGCCATGACCACAATGTCGCGGGATTCCGATGCTGATCGTGGTCATGGTCATGGTCCATGCCGGCCGTCGCCGCCTCGCGAGGGTGATCCACGAACGAAACGACGCTGACCCAATCGACGTTTCCGCCTTCAGTCCTGGTCATGGTCCCCGTTCTCTGCCCCATCTGCCCGCCGGCGGACGGCAGGACTCCTCGAGAAAATCTGGGGCGGAGTTCGAGGCGGGGCCTGCGCCCTCCAGATGACCGGGTGGGGGCCCCAGGCGGGGCGGGCCACAGCCGTCACGGAGAGACCAGGCCTAGTGCTCGTGGGACCACCGGGGGGTTCTCACCGACGTGAAGGGGAGGGGGTCCCCGGGGTCACAGCGACAGATGACGCTGCCACCTGCATACACACACCTCTACCCTCATACTTTTCAGCGGCGGTCCGTCTATACAGGTGGGGGTGGCCGATTGCCACCAAAAGGGCAAATGTAACGGTGTCCACAGCTCACCTGTGCAGACCGACCGCGGTTTCAGAGAAGACGACGGCGGTCGGTCTGCACAGGCGGGTGTGTCTTGCGTTGCCTTCGTGGCGGGGGGCGGGACCCGGAGGCTTTTTTCGCAGCCCGGGCTCCCAGGGCCCCTTTCCGCGGGCCCTGGGCACCGTCCGAGAGCGATGCACGATGAGACGCCGGTCCTGGAGGAAGGCAGCGGGCTCCGGGACTTTTCTCCCAGCGGGGCCCGATTCATTCGGCTCTCTTCCTCACCCCCGCGGCCGCCTTGCCTCCCTGTTTTTCCCTCGTGCACGCTGGCCAATTCGCTTTACGGCACCCTCGTCTAGCTCTTCGCTGGTGCAGCCAACTCTGCCTCGCCGCCGACGAAAAAAGTGTTCCAGCTTCGGCTGGCAGCAGTGTGAAGATGTTCGGCATGTTCGCACGGTGCCTTCCTACTCCAGCACGCGCAGTGTTGCACGCTCCATCCTCTTACCAAGGCCTTGCAGTGGCCTTCTGTTGCACGCATGCGTCACGTTTGCACTGCGCCCCTCCATGATGCGTATTATTATTATTGTTATTATTATTATCATCATTATTATTAATATTATTACTATTATTATTGTTATTATTCTTGTTATTGTTGTTATTATTATTATTGTTATTATTATTAGTATTATTATTACTACTACTAGTGTTATTATTACTACTATTAGTATTATTATCATTATTCGCTTCCCTTGCTCTGCGCGTCTCAGTGTTGTGCGCCCCCTGGAGGCACTGGCAATGCCCCGCGCGGCTGGTGCGAATTCGCTCGCTCGATGTAGCGGTACCCGTGATTAGCGCACATCCTCCGTGCTTTCTTGTGCTCACTGAGTTTCGGACCCCGGCGTGGTCATACGTCATTTCGGGGTAGGATCCACCGTCAGAGCAGGTCATGCATCGTATCGACATCGGCCGCTTCGGAGTCTTGCCCAGAGACCTCGAGTAGTGGTGGATACTAATGTTATGATCCTGGCCTCAGGATTCGCGGGCCCCTCTCCCACTCCCCCCCGCTTGAATGGGTCTCTGGGTTATTCGGGCCCACGCCCTCAGTTGCCCCGCCCCACGGGCGGCAGGAGTGGCGGACGCACAAAACACAGCGTAAGCAAAACACCTCGGCACACAGTACACAGCACCACAGCACTCGCGTTGACGCACGCCTGCCCACCCCCCACCACCGCTCCACACCCGCCGCAACGGGTGGGGGGGGCAGGACCTCTCCTCTCTGAGGGGAGGGTGGGGGGTGCGAACTCCTTGTCCTGTGGCAGGGAGGAGAGGGGGATAAAAGAGTGGACCCCCTTCGTTTTCGACACCGTATTCGCCCCCCCCCCCCGTCCCCGCAGACTCAAAGTTGGCGTCCGGCCTGCTGGAGGCCCTGGGGATTCCACTTTCTTTGTCCTTTCGAGCCTGTGCTCCCGCTCCCCAGAAACCGCTCCCCAGGAAATTCCAGATCCACCGCTCCCCAGGAACCCAAGAGGTCAGAACTCTGGAAGATCTGGGCATGGATGTTTCCTGTCGGAGTATGGGGGTTCACGCTTGCGCAGGGGTGCGTTGCCTCAAATGTAGAAGCTCGCCTGCAGGCTGCTGTCTTGTCCTGCTCGTGCGCATCACCTGTTCTCGCGCCTCCTCGCGCCGGCGCCTGACGCCGAGGTGCCGCCGCCACCGCCACGCGTGCCCAAGTCGCTGCGCGACGAGCAGCTGCTGAGCGGAGAGGCTCTGGAGCAGGTCGAGCTCACGCACCAGGAGCCTCTTTTTCTGGGGGGGGGGGGGGGGCATTCCCCAGACGTCGCGGGAACATCACGACGAGCGTTGCTTCGTGAGTCTGGAGTCAGGGTGCCGTTTTATTTGACGCCCTTGGGCAAGGAAACATGCGAGAGCCCTGGGGGCCCGCGTCATGAAGAAAACATGATGTCGGATTCCGAGGTTTGGGAACATGGTACGACTGGAGGAACAAGGTTGCACTATTTCGACGCTGATGACAAGATATGGAGACGTCTCTCTCTCTCTCTATCTCTCCGTCTGTCTGTCTGTCTGTCTGTCTCTCTCTCTCTCTCTTTTTTTTGTTCTCTCTCTCTTTTTCTCTCTCTCTCTCCATTGCCACAGGGACCCCACAGCAGTGAAAGTGAGCGCGCTCACCCCCAGGGTCCCCATCTTTCCTCGTGTGTGCCTCTCAATGCGCACGACGACTCTCAACGGCGAGGCCGGGGGCCGCGCGAGGGAGCAGTGACAGGCTGCGCTCCGATGCTTGGCCGCAGTGGTGCAAACGTTCCAGCGCTACCCGGACCTCCAATGGCCAATGGCACGGCTTGTTCGCGAGGTGTGCCCCACGGCACCCTCCACCCCGTGCCGTCTTCTTGGCGATGGCCCCGGGTCCCCTCACGGGCCTTCAGAGGCCGAGCGCGTGGCAACAAAGCCTTCGCGGTCTTCTCTTGGCCAGACCTCCTGAGGCTTGCCTCCGCAGCGTGGCTGGCGTTGTCAAGAGCCACCGCAGTGCCAGCCGTCAGCCAGTCTGCGGGGTGGAGTGCTGGCGCGTCTTGGGTGCGCCTTGGCTCCCTGTAGGCCAGGCAGCCTCGCGGACCGAACAGAAGACGGGAGGTGAAGCACTGAGGAGGAGGAGGAGGAGGAGGAGGAGGAGGAGGAGGAAGAGGAGGATACGGTTCGGGGGGCCGTGGGGACTTGGTCAAGCCAGGGTACGCTCGAACACTCACGCCTCATGGAATGGGACACCACTCTTGGGCGACAAAACCCTCGACAAACGACTGAGCACGCCCTTCCCAGTCGTAGAGGGGTGGGTAGGATATTGCCTGTTCAGATTCACAGAATTTACTGCACCATAGCCCCCACAATGGGCACAAAACAAAAGTCCACGCGCCACGGCTAACTGATGAGAACCGTGGGCCCTGGGAAACAGAGGGTGGTCCAGGGGGGTCCCAGGGGTCCGCACTTTGGGCCAGAGCACGGACTAGGGAGAAATCTCCTCAAGGGACCCCGCAACAAAAACTTCCGAGCACAAATCTGACAGATCTAATTCTCACCACGCTTGGCACAGGAGTGCCCCGCCTCTCTGAGACGGGCCCGCCTGGTGCCGGGAGAAGAGAGCGCACGGTGCCCGGGTGCAGCACGCCCGACTCGGTGAGCCGCCATGCGCTTGCACTGGGTGGCCACCTCCATGTTGGTGGCCAGCAATCTACTCAGGACGGAATGAGTGAGGGCACCACAGTCGGCAATTTGCTGCACAATCTGGGGGGGGACAGCCGACGATTCAGCCACCCATCCAGCAAAGAAATCTACACTCCAATTCAGAAAGAATTCATCGGACCCAATGACGATTGTTTCTCGCAACTCCTCAGTCGCATGAGACTTAGTCCACATCACGGTGATCCTGCCAGGACCTCTCTGATCGATCGCATCCCAGATCCGAGCCCACAGAGGGAGGAGGAGGAGGAAAGAGGTTTGTCTTCTCGGATGCTCTGCTGTGCCATGATTCGCTGTTTGCCGTGCCTTGTAGCGATCAACATTGTTCCCTGAGAATGTGTCGCAACAAAGTGTGGCCACTTTTGTGCTCCACGTGGGAGGGGGGAAGTACGACAGGGATGGATACGGAGGTGGAGGAGGACGTGCGTGTCGACCGATGCGAGCGTGTTGACCGCCAGAGCTAAGCTTTGCCACATAAGGCCAGCCAGACCGACTTGACCAGCCTTGATATTGAGGAGGGCGGGCATACGAGGTTATAGATCGGATAGTCGGGGGGGGGGGGAATAACACAATGCGTCTGCCTAAGCTCTACGGCTACCTATGCAGGCTAGCTTTCGGACTGACTTCCGCTTTTACTTACTTGCACCCGTATTTCGTTCACTGCACTGTGTATCTCCTCCTTCCTTCGTTATGATTATGTACGTTGCTATGGTTATGTGATGCGTTACTGTCCTCCTCCACTCCTGAACTGTCTGGCAGGTGTATGATTTGTGCCCGCCTCGACATGCATTATTTAGCCCTATCTCTGCTGCACTTGCCTTTTCTGCTTCGCCTGCCAGGCTAAATTTGTTGGCCCCTTGGCCTGCGTTGGCACTATCATGCGTTTTTTTCTTGCAGACGATACAATCTTAGGATTACAATCCGCTCAACGTCAAGCATGGCAGAGGAGCAGGAGGAGCAGGAGGAGGAGGGACAGCAGCACGCCACTGCGACTCGGAACCGCCAGTGGGCGGCAAATCCCTGCGGTTGGTACCAACTGTTGCGTCTGGGACTGGCGTGCGTTCCCCCTGGCGAACGGAAGGCGCTCGCGTGCGGCCCGGCCTCCGACGCATGGGCGAGGGGGAGGACACATGGGTGCGGACGGGCTCGAGCCGAACTTGCAGGAAACCCGTGTGGGGCGCTGCGGCGAGAGCACCATTTTGCCCCCGCCCTCTCGCGCGGCCAAATTTCCGAGGAGCGCGGCGAGGACGAAACGTGCACCGCGCCGGAGCAGCCCTGCCTCTCTCAGGCAGTATTTGCGCGGCGTTTGGGCGAGAATAACAGATCGCGCGCTCTCGCGCGGCCAATTTGCGCTACCGCGACTCGGCGACCGAAGACCAGGCGTCGCGCCAGAGCTGGAATGCCACTTCAAACGAGATCTACATTCGGGCCGTTGAAAGAAGAACCCTTTTCGTCGGGGAGGGGCTCAGTGCTCCCTAATGGTTTTACAGTTTCTCTCAGGTATTATTTCGGCTTTCTATGGGACGTCGAAGCTTACTTCATGGAGACAAGGAGCCTCGTTCTTTATTTAGGGCTCCTTATGACAGCATTTCGAGTGCACGCGGGGCCCAGGCGAGGGTGGTCATACTCCCGCTCGCGCGCGGCCCTGCCCCCAACGACGTGGCGAGTCAAGCATGTGCTCCGTGTCCGAGCGGGAGCGCCACCTGTGGGCGAAGTCTGCGCGGCGCCGAAGCGATAGCGACGCTTCGCCCGCTGGCGCACGACCCTGCTGTCGACGCAGCGGCGCCCGAAAAATGTGCGCCGC